GGCGCGCCGGGTCAGGTCCACCACCTCCCCACGGCCGCGCTCCGCGGGCGCCAGGCTCAGAGCCTGGCCGGAGCTTCCCGGCGGCGAGTCGGCCGACTTGGACGAGCCCTGCTTGGAGTCCCGCGGAGAGAGGGAGCGTCCGCCCGACTTGCCTCCCGCCGCCGCCGAGTCGCCCGGGGCGCTCGGAACGAAGCTCTCCCCGTTGCTGGAGAATCCGTTGGGGGGCTTGGAATCGTTGACGTGGAGAATGGGGATAGGGATAGGGATGGGCACCGGCAGGGGCACGATCACTGGGTACGGCACGAGCAGCGTGGGGGGCGGCACCAGCGGGGCAAGCGACGGCAGCCCGAAGTTCATCATCTGGGGCACCGGCATCGGGCCGTTTGGCATCATGCTTACCGGAGGGAAAGGAAGGCTGGGCAAGGGCGCGCCGGGGGGCGGCGGGGGCAGCAGTCCCGGGGGGTTCCCAGGCATGGTAGGGGTGCTTGGGGGGTGGATGTGGGGTGATAGCATGGGCCGGTGCATGGGGCTGGAAGTGGGGCCCAGGTTCCTGGGGCCACCCGGCGGAGGCCCAATGCCCGGGAGCATAGGGTTGGACAGGGGGCTGTTGGGGTTGGAGGCATGGTGAGGGGGCCCGCGGATGAAGGGCGGGCGGATCTGCTGTATGATCTGCTGCTCCATGAAGATGGGCAGCGGCACCGGGCCGCGGTTGGTCATCACCATGGGAGGGCTGCGGGGCGGGACGCCCAGCGGAGGTCCAATGTTGGCAGGTGGCTGGACCGAGACAGGAGGGATGCTTGGAGTCTCGCTGATGGGGAGGGACTTGGGCACTGGCGTGGGGATTTTAGTGACAGAGCAGTTGGCAGTGTCAGATGGAGAGACGGTGGTGGACGAGGATGGGCCAGGGCCCTGGCTTTGGCCAGCTGCAGCCACCGGGGAGGGAGCCTTCCTCCGAGCATCTGTTAGCGGGATATTCCAAGAGTCTGGAGTGAGCAGCTGCACCCCGGTGCCTTCAGCTTTACTCTCCATGTGAGGGTGTAATGTGCTGCACAGCCCAGCTGGAAGATTGGCCTGTGTCTCTTTGTAGAAAATGTCCATTTTGTATTGATTGAGACATTTTGCACTGCAGAACTGAAGCCTTCTTTCCCCGTCCCCAAAATCCAGGTATTCTTTTGTATGCCTTATGTGTTTACACCAGTCACACACCTACAACACAGCAATAAAAACCACAGCAGGTAAGATAAGCTTTCCCGGGCAGATGGCGTTCATGTTTCATAGAAAGGCTCTGTCAAATTGTATCATAATTTGTCAAACAGTTGAAGGGGTTCCTTTTAAAAGATAAATTTCTGAAATGTTTGCAAAATGATGAATTTGCTTTACAAATAGGATATTCAAAATAGTAATCTCTTTTTTCTTTAAAAAAAAAAAGATACTAACAGTGTAAAAATGACTTGAAGATGGCTTTGACAAAACAGAGTGCACCTACCCACTACACTTACTCAGTATACTTGCCTTCAGAGTTTCACTTACTTAACAGGCTCACCAGAAACACACACCTAAATAATGCTGGAAGAAAGGAATCTCCAGAGAGTTCAGTGGTCATGCAAGCAACATAGCCTCTTAAGATCCCCCTTATTTACGTAAAATCACCCTGTGCTATTGACCGTATCCGGTAACATGGTTGGAAAGGGTGTACGGTTCTAACCAACAGCGTTAAAGTGCTGATCACCCTTGTGTCTGCCTTCCAAGGAGCAACTTGGACTTCGGCAAGAAGTCTGTGTGAGGTTTAGCTCTCCCAACCTGTGATGTTGCAGCACGCTAGAATTATTTTTTGAGCTGTTTGCCCACTCTTTCTCAGCAGTCAGAATTTTTGGTGACATTTCTTGGCAGGCAGTCTTATTTAACAACTTTTCAAACACCAGAGAACATTTTCCAAAAGTTGTTATGGCTTCCACCCCGCCCCCTTCAGATCTACTCCTGGCAAAAGAGAGAGATCACCAAATTTATTTCAGAGCTGGGCTGTAGAGCTAATTAAAGACTCAGAGCCTTTCCCAATTGGAAATCACTAGACACCAAAGTTCAAAAAATAGTCATTCTCGGCTTCAGAGCCCATTACTTTGGAGAAATTATTGTGATTTCATTAACACATTAATTTTGCAACACCATCAGCTCTCACAGATGGTGAAGACATGATCTACAATTCAAATATGACTCTTGTTTGCACAAATGTCTTCCCTTCATATGGCATTTTAAACAAGAATTAATATGAGTGATCTTGCCATCGCTATAAACAGATAAACAGATGTCAAACTTTCAATAGCTCCTCTAGTGCCTCACTTTTCTCGACAGAATTCTATACACACACTCTTTTTTCTCTTCCTTCTTCTTTCTTTCTTTATCGTTTCCATAGCATCCAAGCCATACAGCATCAGAGGAGGAACTGCAGAATTCAGCACCATTGTGAGTTTATGATCTCTTTCTCCTGCACTGGAGCAATGCTTTCGGTATTTGTTCTATTGCTGTGTGCATGCATGTGTGTGTGTGTGTGCATGTGTGTGTGTGTGTGTGTGTGTGTGTGCGTGTGTGTGTGTGTGTGTGTGTGTGTGTGTGTGTGTGTTTCACGACCATAAACTGATATAATTAAAAGATGATAAACTTTAATAATGACTGGTCACATAAACAGCGCACAAACAACATACGCTGGCATTTGATTACCCCTCTCACTTACCTCTCAGCTTCCCTTGCTTGTAAACAGTGGTGACATGCTAGCATGTGACTGTGGGTGCAGATGTGGGCTGCATGTGTAAACGCAGTCTTTCCCTTCTCGGTGTTTTGGATTTTTTTCTTTCCATTGATGTTTTTGGTTGATAAACTTGACAATGTGAGACTGAATAAGACGCATGCTTTGGCACACATTAGTTTTTGTTTGTCCTTTCAAAATACTTCTTCCAAAAAATCTGAGACTAGGGCACTCCTGAGTGGGCTTCAGTGGTAAGGGAATTCCTTCAGTGTAGCTATCAAAACCATGGCCGCCATTGAAGTGGTTAAAATACAATGGCGTCAATGCTCATATCTCCTTTCCTCCACTAACAGTGTTTTAGGGTCCTCTGGGACTCAAGGGGACATTTTTGTTATTAGTGAGATGCCCATCTTACAGATGCATGCAAAATTGCCTCCGAGGAAAAGAGCCTCAAAGAATATGTCAGATCTTCACATTTCTTATCTGGATTAAGGTTAAGTAAACTGTTAGTGAACACATGATGTATACATTTAAATAAAGTTAGAGCCAGGTGTAATGGTGCACACCTTCAATCCCAGCCTTTGAGTGGCAGAGGCAGGAGAATTTCTGTGAGTTCAAGGCTATCCTGGTCTACATAGTGAGTTCCAGGACAACCAGAGCTACAAAGTGAGACCTTGTCTCCAAAGTTAGCATATAATCATGTGGCACTTAAATTCCATTGTGAAATAAAACTACCTGCCTCTCTTTTACCAGTGGGTATGCATAGAAAGCCAAAAATATAAATGTGTAAGTTTGAGGTGAGGGAGAAAACACAGCTTCTTCCTTCAGGAACTGTAAAACCATCATCGATGAGTTGAACTAATTAAAATGACACGTGACTTTCTTGGCATGTGTCCTTTGGATCTTGTTCTTTAACAATAATGGGGAAGAGTTTTATGAAATCATTAATTGGTTTTTAAACTGCCAGATTTATTTATTTGTTTATTTATTTATTTATTTATTTATTTATTTATTTATTTATTTATTTTGCCTCCAGAGGATTCGTGTTTCCTCAAACTAGATAAATATTTTTCAAGTGAGGTGAAAAAACATAGTAATCTAAATATAACTTTGCCTCTCTCCTTTCACACCCTTCACTGCTAAGAATCATTGATAAACGGTGCTCATGGACTATCCTAATCATCCAATGAGAATTTTTTCACCACATCTCACCCTTTTCCACAGAAAAATAATCACAGATATCAGAAGCAAAAATCCACTTTTTTCAAACTTTTCTATAAAAGCAAAGGAAGGGCCTAATGTCCTTTTTCTTTCTTTTCCTTTTTTGTTTTGTTTTGGTTTTGGTTTTTGGTATTTGTTGTGTAGCTTGGCTGTCTTGGAACTGATCTGTAGACCAGGCTGGCCTTGAACTCACAGAGATCCGCCTGACTCTGCCTCCTGAGTGCTGGGACTAAAGACGCGCGCCCCCACCCAAAAGGCCCAATGCTGGCACTTGCTGTCCTGACTCTTGAAAGAGCATCCATTGCAGTGTGCCCTAACTGTGTTGTTTTGGGGTGCTGTGAGCCTGACTGTAATAAGGCCTCACCTTTCAGTTCAGAACACAGACCTCAAAATATGGAAAAGCAATCTTTCCGATGAAGCCAAAGATTATTAGAAGGGGGAAAAAATCATCACTTAAGAAGTAATGAATCAAGTCTGCCTTACAGGACACATCATTTAAGATGAGGTCAATGGATTTATGTGGCAAATGGCTACATCATGTACAGCAGGGAAACCCAGCACCATTATTCACTCCGCATCCAGCTAATGACACTTCCGTAATTAAAGTCTTCATCATAGGAGCCCGAGATGATTATTTAAGCAACGGTAGTTATGTGAAAATATATACCACATCTCTTTTTAATAAAATAACATTTGCATATGCAAAGCACACAGCGAATACCTCATAAGCTATGGTTTCGTACTGTGGTGTTGGGGGTATTCTCCCCTTCTTTGTGGACAGATTTCAATTCTGTCATATTATTGTTTTAAGTTTGGAGACTTTTTCATCTCTCCCCACCCCCACCACACACACACACACACATACACACACACACACACACACACACACACACACACACACACACTGTCAAGAAGCAGCAAAATTCCTTCAGACGTTTTAAGATAAGCCCAGCTCCCAGAGCTCTGTGGCGATCTGCATGATTCCCACCCCACCTTGGCTGTCTGCTGGGATCCGGCCTCTCTGGTTCCACTTCTCTCCCTAACAGGTCCCAGACTGGACTTAGCTGCTGTTGTTTTACTACACCAACATGGGGGCCCAACAATCAATCCGCTAATGCAAGCCACTGAACGGGACCGCCGCAATGCTTCGGGTCACAGATCCACGCCAGGTCACCAGGAAGACACAAAGATCGATCGCAAAGGGATAAGCACCCATATGTTCCCTTCAAGCCCAGCACCCCGTCCTCCAGAAGATCAAGTTCCCCTTCCCGAGATGGGTCCAGGTCTACACACAAGAAGGAACATTTCCTTCCGTGCGCTTTGCTGGCAGGCTGCCAGGGCACTACTTAGAAGCTCAGTGGTTGGGTGGCTTCCCTCCTTTCCTGTGAAATAAATGTGTGGTAACCTACACCACTCCACTGCTCAAAAGACACCACCTCCACAGAGCTTCCCCTTGCTCTGGATCCCAGCACCCTGAAAGGCACAACTTTGGGTGCCTATGACTCCCCCAGAGCTATGGAAAGAAAGCAGGCTATTCACGTTGGCAACCGAACCTTTTTCACACAAATGTCCGAGGTCAGAGCCACAGTACAGAAGCCACTAGGTTAGCCACATGGTACAATATATACATTCTTCTCGGCTTAGGAGAAGGTTCGGGCTATTGGAGGTGGGGCAGGACTTCTAATTAACACATTAATCAGCTGTCAGCCGTGGGAGTAAAGTTCATCCTTTAATGGAACCCACTGCTGCTTTCTGAGTGGGAATCTGGCATCGGGCAATATTTAATTAAATTCTTTTGCTGAAATCTGTCTTCTCTGTAAAGACGGTTTGCAGCCATGGAACAGTAAAAACATATTAGCTTCTCCTGCATGCCATCAACAACTTGGAAAGTGCCCTCCCTCAGCCTCCCGCGCTCCTGACCTCCCGCTGACGCCACCACAGCTCTGCACTTGCAGCTCTGCACGCTAGACTGTATTTTGTCACAGGCAGGTGAGTCTCCGGGCCCTGACAGGTGAAATGTGACATTGATCCGGGCCAGCTCAGAACCACGAGCTCATTCCAGAGTGAGCTGCGGGAGGGTGCAGGGACACCGGCTGGGTGCTCAAGCTTCTAAAGGCCTGTAGGCTGTCACCTCATAGCATGAGTTGAGGGTCTTAGATTGAACCCTCGCTGAGCACTCCTCAGGAGTGCCCAGACCTTCTCTGTGGTCTTGACACTGCCTCCAGGAGGGCCCTAGTACCATGTA